ATGTATATCCTGAATTCTTTATCTGACATTCCATCTGCTGCAGCTGTTACCTCTTCTAAAGTTGCGTTGACCTGCATTGCTTGTGGTCCTTTCTTTCCTTGTCTTTTCATACTGCTTGCGTATCTTTCCTGCAGGTGCGGGCGGCGGCTCTGCTCTCTCCTTATTCCAATTGGGGTGTCGTGGCTACCACGCCGGCAGGTCACTGGGCCTGTTCTGGGAGCTGGTGGCGGCTCTGTTCTGCCCCTACTCCAATTGGGGTGACGTGTCTGTCGTACCAGCAGGCCACTGGGCCTGTCCTGCTGGTCGGTCGCAGATCTGCCCACCTTTCGGGCACGAGTGGAGGCTCTGCTTTGCCCCTACTCCAATTGGGGTGTCGTGACTACCCCGCCTGCAGGATGCTGGGTCTGTTCCTGGCAAGGGAGGCGACTCTGCTCTGTCACTACTCCAATTAGGGTGGTATTTGTACCCCGCCGGCAGGCTCCTGGGCCTGATCCGCAGGTCTGTTGTAGGTCTGCCTACCTTGAAGGCGCGGGCGGCGGATCTGCCCTGCCCCTCCTACCACGCCTGCGGACCCCTGGGCCTGATCTGCAGGTTGATCACTGGTCTGCTCACCCTGCGGGCACGGGTGGCGGTTCCGCTCCACCCCCACTCCAATTGGGGTCACGTGACCACCACACCGGCAGGGCCTGATCCGGGCGTGGGATAAGGATCTGCTCTGCCCCTACTCGAGTTGGGGTGACGTGTGTACCACACTGGCAGGCCACTGGGCCTGACCCGCCAGGCTGTCACAGGTCTGTTTACCTTGCAAGCGCGAAGGGCGGCTCTGCCCTGCCCCTCCTACCACGCCCATGTACTACTGGGTCGTGGGTCTGCCCACCTGGCGGGTTTGGGTGGCGGCTCCGCTCCGCCCCCTCTCCAATTGGGGTCACGCGGTCACCACGCTGGCGAGCCGCTGGGCCTGCTCCGGGGGCTGGCGGCGGCCCGGCTCCTTCCCTCTGGCTCGAGGACAAATTGAGGAGACTCGGGTGACTGAGCCTCACCCCCCTTACCAGGAGACCAACTGCTTATGTCACCGCTGGTGTTGATGAAGATCTCTCCTCCACCGCTTTCTGCTGACATCAGATCTCTGCCATGTTGGTATCCTATGCGAATGGCAGCATTTCGTTCCCCTTGCCAGGCAACCCAAGCAATGGGTGAGTCCTGACCTGCCCTCAGCAGGACCCGGACCGAGACACAGTTTCCGCGGGCTCCCAGCCCCGGTCCAGGGAAGTTCCGGGAGCCGGAACTCGGCCGCTCCGTGCTCGGTGTAAGCTCCTATAAGTGTAGGCTCCAAGAAGCAGCCCCCGCGGGCTCAGTTCCGGGAGCCGGAATTCGGCCGCGTAGTGTTTGGTGTATGCTCTGATAGTAGCAGGGTCCAAGAAGCAGCCTCCGCGGGCTCCGCAGCCCTGAGCCAGGGCGGTTCCGGGACGGTTCCGGGAGCCGGAACTCGGCGGCTCTGTGCTCGGTGTAAGCTCCTACAAGTGTAAGCTCCAAGAAGCAGTCCCCGCGGGCTCAGTTCCGGGAGCCGGAACTCGGCCTCTTGGTGTTTCGTGTTTGCTCTGATATTAGCAGGGTCCAAGAAGCAGCCTCCGCAGGCTTCGCAGCCCGGAGCCAGGGCGGTTCCGGGACGGCTCCGGGAGCCGGGACTCGGCCGCCCCGCGCTCCGTGTTCACTCCGATAAGATCAGATTTTAAGAAGCCCCCAGGCGCTGAACCCTAGCAATCTGTCTGCAAGCCGCAGGCGAATTGCAGCCTGAAATTACCTGTTCTATGGCTGAATGAGCTGCGGTCAGTCAAAAACAGGTGTGGTGACGTCAGTTTACCAACATGGTGGCTGCTGGCCTCCTCTGTGGTCTGACCGGTGTGGAGAACCGAGATGGACCGCTTCCTTCCCCGTCTCGAACCCAGAATTCAGCCCTGAGTGCGGTGCTTGCGCGTCTGGCAGAAACTGCAGCGCTGTAACCCTGCGTCTCTATCCCAGCGCGCCTTGCAGACTCCAGCCGCGGGGCGATTCGCTGAATAAGCAGTTTTACCCTCCGTGCGACAAACCTCTCGCGTTTGAGTCCCCGTAGCCGATCCTCATGCGATGGAAATCCTTCCTCCAGGTTCCGGCGCACCCCACTATTGCTGGAAATTCCCAACAAGATATCCTTCAGCCGTCCTGACTTGTCACACTCCCACACAGTGAAGCAGCACACGGGGGTAATGCACTCCCCTCGCCGCCATCTTCCCTCCTCCCCCTTGTTCAGATCTTTAATGAAGTCATTTCTCCAAGAAGCCCTGGTTCCTTTTATTGCAGAACGGTACCAGAAACCAACCCCTGGGTCCTAGGTGTGCCACTGGAGTGTCATTGCTTCTAGGACCTCTTAACTGACAGAGCAAGGAAATGTGTCTTGTGAACCAAGCTGTGCATGTACCCAGACCTGAAAATGTTTCTGTATGTATTCATCTGCATCTGTATTAAGCTAATCAGGAGTTCATACTAATATCTCTTATTCATCCTAATTTATTCCTGCACAGATCATTCTAACCTCTTCTCTTTGCTTGGCAGGGATCTCTCATTGAGACAGTGAGAAACCTAGCTTCCATTATCAGCCATCCACTTACAGGTTCCGTTTCAGAGTACATGAATAGTGGTATCAAAATTGTAAACCATAGTCTGAGAGAAATGACTTTATCAACTATAACATAATGCCTTTTGCTTTTAGTCTTACAATCTCTATGCATTTCAGCTACTTGGGTAACACATTCTGCTCCGCACTTTTTTTATTTTTTTTTAAATACATTTAGATTCTTTTGTCACAGTCTACCTTCTACCCTGGGTTTTTCTGACCTCTGCTATAATTTTTAAATTTTGCATGCATAAAGGTTCATCTTTTCTGTGACATAGTTTTATGGGTTCTGAAAAATGCAGAGTGTCACGTATCCACCATTCCAGCATCAAACAGAGGTTTTCCACTACTATAAAACCTTCCCTGTGCTTCACCTATTAAACCCTGCTCCTTCCCTAAGGCCCTGGCAACCATTGATGTGTTCAGCAGTGCTATAGTTGTGCCTTTTCCAAAATGTTGTATAAACAGAATCATACAGCATGGAGCCTTTTTGGACAGGCTCCTCTCCCTCAGCCATATGCATTTAAAATTCACTCCCATTTTTGGATGGCTTAATAGTCAGTTCATTCCTTTTTCTAAGGAGTCTTTTAAAACAAAGCAGATGCATTGGCATCACTCCCAGAGATTCTGGCTTAATTGATCTGTTGTGGGCTCAGGCACTGGTATGGGAAGAGCGATCGCTCCCCCTTAGCTTCTTCCTTACTTAGTCCCAAGCACCCCCACCCCCTACATTAGTCCAAATCATTGGTGGCTGTGCCAATGGCTTGGGACAGTGGTTTTTATAGATTTGGTAAGTGGAATGAAGATGACAGAGGATGACAAGATGTTGATGACCAGAGATGTGAGATCAGGTGAGAACTCCACAGAAAGTTGGTGCTTAAGTCCTTGGTTATCTCACCCAGTGAAGTCTCTTCTCGGTCCACTGGAGAACAGAGCATATACAACCCTTCTCTTCCTTTCCTGTTCATAAACAAGCACAAGAGGCTTTGGGAATTGTCATAGGAGTGTGACTTGTGATTTTTTTGTTGGAAAAGAGAGTGAAGATGCTCCTCCTGTGCTCACCTTGAACCTTATAAGAAGTGCACTTGTCCCACAGATAACACTTGGCAGAGGAATTCCAAGGGTCATGAATTGTACCACAGAAGTTGGGTTGCAGGCTCTGGAGGAGAGTATAATAGAGCCCTTGGTGGAGTGGAAGGACAAATGGGGTGAAGATGATATCAAGGTCATGTCCATTTAGGTTCTGCCCTACAAATGGAAAGAAGTCCACTCTTGTTATGTACACTAATTTTTCCATTTCGTATCTGGCTGTGTACCCAGAGGCATGTAGACAGGATGTGGAATACCTGAAACCTGGAGCCCTTTGTTTGTAAGTGTTTAGAGATGTGCGTATGCCAGACACAGATGAATGTTCCTAAGATTTGAGTCTGGAATCCATCTAACTAGAAAGTATATCCATTCTGAATTTCAATTTTCAGAGAGTTTGGGGGGGGGGAAGGAACCACAACTATTTGAGATTTAAAACACTTCTAGTCACCAATTACAATATACAGTCAGAACACATTTAGCACATTTTTCTATCTTCTCATTCTTCAGTTGCTGTGTAATGATAAGCAATCTTTATGATAAGTATTGCCCTACATTATTGTTGAGTATGAAGTGTTTTATGTAGTATCAAATGTGAATTATTTTTCAATGATGGGGATCAAATCCAGAACCTTATGCTTGCTAGGCAAGTTCCTCAAATGAGATTTTTATTTGCATTAGGCAGCATTTTTTGTTTTTTTCAGAGAGTTACAGGGTTTTTATTTCTTTAATTTTTTATGGTTGATTTTTTTTTTTTTGGTACCAGGGATTGAACCCAAGGTTGCTTAACCACTGAACCTCATCTCTAGCCCTTCTTTTGTTTTATTTTGAGAAAAGGTCTCAGTAAGTCCTTAGGGCCTCACTATGTTGCTGGGACTGGTCTCAAATTTGCAACCCTCCTGCCTCAGCCTCCCAAGTTGCAGGAAATACAACTGCACCTGGAAGGTTGATCTTTTATGAATCCTTTAAACATTGCCATCTATAGTACGTGAGGTATGATGACTCAAAGAGTCAGCATATTTTAGAAGATGTCTTATTCCCCAACCATTCTATATAAAAAATGTACTTTCTTATTACAATTTTTTTATAAAATATACTTTCAAATTAATCAAAAAAGATTTTTTTTTTTGGATGCAAGGAGAATCCAGGGAACAATGAGGTTGGAATATTCAAAATAGAACCAAAGGAAATGATGCAAATATGTAGGATGAGACCATTTCTCCTTGTGTCATAAATGGTTTCAAACAATGAAAGCAATACTTACCCCTATAGTAGAAGCCATGTAATCTGAGCAGATCTCCGCAAAGTCTCTCCCCATTACCCCATAGTAGAGGCCATAGAACAAGGACACAATGCCAAAATCCATGGAATCTCTAGCCTTGATTCTATTGAAAACAGTAAAAGGGAATAATGAAGTGGCCTTGGGGGAACAGAGGAAAAGCTGGAGTTTGGAAAAGATCTCCTGCCACAGTCTGTAAAAAAGAGCCCTGTGGATATATACTTTTTCACTTATTTATTTAGTCCTTTTTTAAAAATATGAAACATTTTTAAATTCTCTAAATTTCTTTCCAACTGTACCACCCAGCGTCAATGGACAAAGGAATTCTTGAGTAGTCCCCTTTATTCCCAGGTGATATGTTCTAAGATCACCAGTAGATGCATGAGATCTGGCTAGTACTCAACTATATACACACTATTTTTCCCCACACACGTACTTAAGATAAAGTTTAATCTATAATCAGGCACAGTAAGAAGTTAACAACAAATGATAGAGTAACTGAAACAATCTACTATAATAAAAGTTTGTGCTTTGAGGCCATTATTAAATAAAAGAAGGATTACTTGAACACAAGCACAGTGATATCATGACAGATGATGATCTGGTAACTAACTGAGTTAACTGCTAAGCGACTAAGGAAGGTAGCACATATAGCATGGGTATACTACCCAAAGGGGTGATTTACATCCTGAGTGGGATAGAGTGGGACGGTACAAGATTTCATCAGGCTACTTAGGACAGTGTACAATTTAAAAATTATTTATTTTGGGAATTTTCCATTTAATATTTAGGATTATGGTAGACTGTAGGTAACTGAAACCAAAGAAGGTGAAACCACAGGTCAAGGGATACTGCTAGAGTCTTTAAATGTGTCTTAGGTTTTCAGTGCTTAGATAAGTCCATTCTAACCAGGAGTCTCAAGGTGGGTTGAATATAGAAACATCTCCATGTCTAGCCACACCCCAGCTCAATTACATCAGAATCTCTGGGGATGGGACCTGTGCAGCAATGATTTTTAAAGCTCCTGTACACCAGGGGATGCAAATGGGCAGCTAATGGTAAAACCCATTAGATATGATTCTTGGCACGAAACATAGATTAGAGTCACCTGGGGAAATCTAAAAATATACTGGTGCGTGAATGGACCCACCATGAGGACTCTGGCTTAATTGGTCTGGGCAGGGCCTGGCCAGTAGTAGTTTCCAAGATCCTGTCAGGTGATTCTACATTACAGGAAGGGTCTAGCACTTAGATTCTACAAAGTGCCTTCATATACTTTTTCTTACCTAACAAATGTGTTAGATATTATTCTCATTTTGCATGTGAAAACACGGTGACTAGAAAAAAAATTATTTCCTTCACATGACAATTGGTACAATAACAAAGCTAAGAATTAAGCTCAGATTTTGAGACCCATAACTCTTATGCCATTGTTGATATGTATGAGCAACAACAAAAAATATTTCCCCTGCAAATTGAATCATATTTTATTTTATTTTTTAATTTTTATTTTTTTAATTTTTTATTGTTGGTTGTTCAAAACATTACAAATTTCTTGACATATCATATTCCACACTTTGATTCAAGTGGGTTATGAACTCCCACCTTCACCCCATACACAGATTGCAGAATCACATCAGTTACACATCCATTGATTTACATATTGCCATACTAGTGTCTGTTGTGTTGTGCTCCGCTGCCTTTCCCATCCTACACCATCACCCCTCCCCACCACTCCCCTCCCCTCCCCTCCTCTCTCTCTACCCCCTCCACTGTATAACCCTGAGGGTCTCCTTCCATTTCCATGCAATTTCCCATCTCTCTCCCTTTCCCTCCCCCCTCTCATCCCTGTTAAATGTTAATCTTCTTCTCCTGCTCTTCATCCCTACTCTGATCTTAGTTACTCTCCTTATATCAAAGAAGACATTTGGCATTTGTTTTTTAGGGATTGGCTAGCTTCACTTAGCATAATCTGCTCTAATGCCATCCATTTCCCTGCAAATTCTATGATTTTGTCATTTTTAAATGCAGAGTAATACTCCATTGTGTATAAATGCCACATTTTTTTTTATCCATTCGTCTATTGAAGGGCATCTAGGTTGGTTCCACAGCCTTGCTATTGTGAATTGTGCTGCTATGAACATCAATGTAGCAGTGTCCCTGTAGCATGCTCTTTTTAGGTCTTTAGGGAATAGACCAAGAAGGGGAATAGCTGGGTCAAATGGTGGCTCCATTCCCAGCTTTCCAAGAAATCTCCATACTGCTTTCCAGATTGGCTGCACCAATCTGCAGTCCCACCAGCAATGTACAAGTGTACCCTTTTCCCCACATCCTCGCCAGCACTTGTTGTTGTTTGACTTCATAATGGCTGCCAACCTTACTGGAGTGAGATGGTATCTTAGGGTGGTTTTGATTTGCATTTCTCTGACTGCTAGAGGTGGTGAGCATTTTTTCATGTACTTGTTGATTGACTGTATGTCCTCCTCTGAGAAGTGTCTGTTCAGGTCCTTGGCCCATTTGTTGATTGGGTTGTTTGTTCTCTTATTGTCTAATTTTTTGAGTTCTTTGTATACTCTGGATATTAGGGCTCTATCTGAAGTGTGAGGAGTAAAGATTTGTTCCCAGGGTGTAGGCTCCCTATTTACCTCTCTTATTGTTTCTTTTGCTGAGAAAAAACTTTTTAGTTTGAGTAAGTCCCATTTGTTGATTCTAGTTATTAACTTTTGTGCTATGGGTGTCCTATTGAGGAATTTGGAGCCCGACCCCACCGTATGTAGATCGTAGCCAACTTTTTCTTCTATCAGACGGCATGTCTCTGATTTGATATCAAGCTCCTTGATCCATTTTGAATTCACTTTTGTGCATGGCGAGAGAAAGGGATTCAGTTTCATTTTGTTGCATATGGATTTCCAGTTTTCCCAGCACCATTTGTTGAAGATGCTATCCTTCCTCCATTGCATGCTTTTAGCCCCTTTATCAAATATAAGATAGTTGTAGTTTTGTGGATTGGTTTCTGTGTCCTCTATTCTGTACCATTGGTCCACCTGCCTGTTTTGGTACCAGTACCATGCTGTTTTTGTTACTATTGCTCTGTAGTATAGTTTGAAGTCTGGTATCGCTATACCGCCTGATTCATACTTCCTGCTTAGCATTGTTTTTGCTATTCTGGGTCTTTTATTTTTCCATATGAATTTCATGATTGCTTTCTCTATTTCTACAAGAAATGCCTTTGGGATTTTGATTGGCATTGCATTAAACCTATAGAGAACTTTTGGTAATATCGCCATTTTGAGGATGTTAGTTCTGCCTATCCATGAACAGGGTATAGTTTTCCATCTTCTAAGATCTTCTTCTATTTCTCTCTTTAGGGTTCTGTAGTTTTCATTGTATAAGTCTTTCACCTCTTTTGTTAGGTTGATTCCCAAGTATTTTATTTTTTTTGAAGATATTTTGAATGGAGTGGTTGTCCTCATTTCCATTTCAGAGGATTTGTCGCTGATATACAGGAATGCCTTTGATTTATGCGTGTTGATTTTATATCCTGCCACTTTGCTGAATTCATTTATTAGCTCTAATAGTTTCTTTGTAGAGTCTTTTGGGTCTGCTAGGTATAGAATCATATCATCTGCAAATAGTGATAATTTAAGTTCTTCTTTTCCTATTTTGATGCCTTTAATTTCTTTCGTCTGTCTAATTGCTCTGGCCAGTGTTTCGAGAACTATGTTGAACAGAAGTGGTGAGAGAGGGCATCCCTGTCTTGTTCCAGATTTTAGAGGGAATGCCTTCAGTTTTTCTCCATTCAGAATGATGCTAGCCTGAGGCTTAGCATAGATTGCTTTTACAATATTGAGGTATGTTCCTGTTATCCCTAGTTTTTCTAGAGTTTTGAACATAAAGGGATGCTGTACTTTGTTGAATGCTTTTTCCGTATCTATCGAGATGATCATATGGTTCTTATTTTTAAGTCTATTGATGTGGTGAATAACATTTATTGATTTCCGTATATTGAACCAGCCTTGCATCCCAGGGATGAATCCTACTTGATCATGGTGCACAATTTTTTTGATATGTTTTTGTATCCGATTCGCCAGAATTTTATTGAGGATTTTTGCATCTAGGTTCATTAGAGATATTGGTCTGTAGTTTTCTTTCTTTGAAGTGTCTTTGTCTGGTTTAGGTATCAGGGTGATGTTGGCCTCGTAGAATGAATTTGGAAGTTCTCCCTCTTTTTCTATTTCCTGAAGTAGCTTGAAAAGTATTGGTATTAGTTCTTCTTTAAAGGTTTTGTAAAATTTTGCTGTATACCCATCCGGTCCTGGGCTTTTCTTAGTTGGTAGTCTTTTGATGGTTTCTTCTATTTCCTCAATTGATATTGGTCTGTTTAGGTTGTCTATATCCTCCTGACTCAATCTGGGCAGATCATATGACTTAAGAAATTTATCTATGCCTTCACTATCTTCTAATTTATTGGAGTATAAGGATTCAAAATAGTTTTTGATTATCTTCTGTATTTCTGAAGTGTCTGTTGTGATATTGCCTTTTTCATCCCGTATGCTAGTAATTTGAGTTCTCTCTCTTCTTCTCTTCGATAGCATGGCTAAGGGTCTGTCGATTTTGTTTATTTTTTCAAAGAACCAACTTTTAGTTTTGTCAATTTTTTCAATTGTTTCTTTTGTTTCGATTTCATTAATTTCAGCTCTGATTTTAATTATTTCTTGCCTTCTACTTCTTTTGCTGTTGTTTTGCTCTTCTTTTTCAAGGATTTTGAGATGAAGTATGAGATCATTTATTTGTTGGTTTTTTCTTTTTTTAAGGAATGAACTCCAAGCAATGAACTTTCCTCTTAGAACTGCTTTCAATGTGTCCCATAGATTCCGATATGTTGTGTCTGTGTTTTCATTTATCTCTAAGAATTTTTTAATTTCCTCCTTGATGTCTTCTATAACCCATTGATCATTCAGTAACCTATTGTTCATTCTCCAAGTGATGTATGCTTTTTCCTTCCTTCTTTTATCGTTGATTTTCAGTTTCATTCCATTATGATCAGATAAGATGCATGGTATTATCTCTACTCCTTTATATTGTCTAAGAGTTGCCCTGTGACATAATATATGATCTATTTTTGAGAAGGATCCATGTGCTGCTGAGAAAAAAGTGTAACTGCTTGATGTTGGGTGGTATACTCTATATATGTCAATTAAGTCTAGGTTATTAATTGTGTTATTGAGTTCTATAGTTTCCTTATTCAACTTTTGTTTGGAAGATCTGTCCAGTGGCGAGAGAGGTGTGTTGAAGTCTCCCATGATTATTGTATGGTGGTCTATTAGACTCTTGAACTTGAGAAGAATTTGTTTGACGAACATAGCTGCACCATTGTTTGGGGCATAAATATTTATGATTGTTATGTCTTGTTGGTGTATGGTTCCCTTAAGCAGTATGTAGTGTCCCTCTTTATCCCTTTTGATTAACTTGGGCTTGAAATCTATTTTATTTGATATGAGTATGGACACTCCTGCTTGTTTCCGAAGTCCATATGAGTGATATGATTTTTCCCAACCTTTCACCTTCAGCCTATGTATGTCTTTTCCTATCAAATGCGTCTCCTGCAGGCAGCATATTGTTGGTTCTTGTTTTGTGATCCATTCTACTAGCCTGTGTCTCTTAATTGGTGAGTTTAAGCCATTAACATTTAGGGTTATTATTGAGATATGGGTTGTTCTTCCAGCCATATTTGTTTATTTCTGTTACTAAACATTGTTTGTTTTCCTCTTTGATTATTTCCCCCCCCCCTTTACTGTCCTACCTCCCACTGTTGGTTTTCATTGTTATTTTCCATTTCCTCTTCCTGTAATGTTTTGCCAAGGATGTTTTGAAGAGATGGTTTTCTAGCTGCAAATTCTTTAAACTTTTGTTTATCGTGGAAGGTTTTAATTTCATCTTCCATCCTGAAGCTTAATTTCGCTGGATACACAATTCTTGGTTGGAACCCATTTTCTTTCAGTGTTTGAAATATGTTATTCCAGGATCTTCTAGCTTTCAGAGTCTGTGTTGAAAGGTCAGCTGTTATCCTGATTGGCTTACCCCTAAATGTAATCTGCTTCCTTTCTCTTGTAGCTTTTAAAATTCTCTCCTTATTCTGTATGTTGGGCATCTTCATTATAATGTGTCTAGGTGTGGATCTCTTATGATTTTGCACATTCGGCGTCCTGTAGGCTTCTAGGATTTGGGATTCTGTCTCATTCTTCAAGTCTGGGAAGTTTTCTCGTATTATTTCATTGAATAGACTGCTCATTCCTTTGGTTTGGAGCTCTGTACCTTCCTGTATCCCAATGACTCTTAAGTTTGTTCTCTTAATGTTATCCCATATTTCTTGGATGTTCTGCTCATGGTTTCTCAACAGTCTTGCTGAGCTGTCTATGTTCTTTTCCAGTTGAAATACTTTGTCTTCATTGTCTGATGTTCTATCTTCTAAGTGTTCTACTCTGCTGGTAGTATTCTCCATTGAGTTTTTAAGTTGGTTTATTGCTTCCTGCATTTCTAGGATTTCTGTTTGTTTGTTTTTTATAACCTCTATCTCCCTGTATAGTTGATCCTTTGCTTCCTGGATTTGTTTGCATAATTCATTGTCGAAGTGATCTTTCATTGTCTGATTTTGCTGTCTAATGTCTTCCTTGATACTCCAGATCATCTGAAGCATGTATATCCTGAATTCTTTATCTGACATTCCATCTGCTGCAGCTGTTACCTCTTCTAAAGTTGCGTTGACCTGCATTGCTTGTGGTCCTTTCTTTCCTTGTCTTTTCATACTGCTTGCGTATCTTTCCTGTAGGCGTGGGCGGCGGCCCTGCTCTCTCCTTATTCCAATTGGGGTGTCGTGACTACCACGCCGGCAGGTCACTGGGCCTGTTCTGGGCGCTGGCGGCGGCTCTGTTCTGCCCCTACTCCAATTGGGGTGACGAGTGTACCATGCCGGCAGGCCACCGGGCCTGATATGCCGGTCTGTCGCAGGTCTGCCTACCTTGCAGGCCTGGGCGGCGGATCTGCCCTTCCCCTCCTACCACGCCTGCGGACCCCTGGGCCTAATCTGCAGGTTGGTCACAGGTCTGCTCACCCTGCGGGCACGGGTGGTGGTTCCGCTCCACCCCCACTCCAATTGGGTTCACGTGACCACCACACCGGCAGGGCCTGATCCGGGCGTGGGCGAAGGATCTGCTCTGCCTCTACTCCAGTTGGGGTGACGTATGTACCATGCTGGCAGGCCACTGGGCCTGACCCGCCAGTCTGTCACAGGTCTGTTTACCTTGCAAGCGCGGGCGGCGGCTCTGCCCTGCCCCTCCTACCATGCCCGTGTACCACTGGGTCGCGGGTCTGCCCACCTTGCGGGCGCGGGTGGCGGCTCCGGTCCGCCCCCTCTCCAATTGGGGTCACGTGGTCACCACGCTGGCGAGCCGCTGGGCCTGTTCCGGGCTCTGGCGGCGGCCCGGCTCCTCCCCTCTGGCTCGACGAGAAATCGAGGAGACTCAGGTGTCTGTGCCTCACCCCCCTTACCAGGAGACCAACTGTTTCTGTCGCCGCTGGTATTGATGAAGTTCTTGAATCATATTTTAAATTCACTAGGATTCTTTTGTGATCCTGCCCCTCCTTTTAAAGGGAAAGATCTCTTTTAAAAACTGACTGAATCTTAATCCTTGCACATTTGCTTTATTAGATTTGTAAGACCATCTCCAAAGCCTGGGTGGCCTGCTGGGACTCACTGGAGACAGAGCAGAACATGGAGCAGAGTTGGGTGGTCTGTGTCTAGAATCTCTTTTTGATTGCTTTTGTGCTCTGTTAATTTAAGGAGAACATGGTAAAAGCAGAAAGCTTTGTAGATTTAGGAGATAGATTCTTTGTTTTTTTTTTTGGTGATGTGAGTCCTTTCAGGATTTGCTTGGGTGTATTTGAGGATTAGGGTAGTGGAGAGATAAAGACCATCTTCCCTCCACCTGCAGGGCGGTTTGGATTTAAAAGCTTATTGATAAAAAGTACAGTAACAAACCTGCGGCTCATAGAGAAGAATCTTAATACAATAGCAACCACTAGCCTCAGCTCTGCCTGTGAGGATCTCATCACAGCACAATCCAGCAAGCTCCTTCCAAATGGGGGCACAGAACTGAGTCATAGACACCGTTATCCCAGTTTCCTTTATTTCTCAAAAGCGTTTCTCTTCTGTTTTTCCTTCTGTTTGTTTCTAAGTACCCACTTCTCTCCTTTTTCAACTTTCCCCAACAACAGATTTCATGATACTAACAACAAAATTCTGACATATTTTCAATGGAGACCAGTGGAAACACAGCCGTGAGCTGCATAATGACATTTCAATTATGGACTCATGGATCACGATGGTTCCATAAGAAAATATCACCTAGTGACACGGTGTCTGTCTTAGTTTGTGTAAATACACTGTGTGAGGGCTCTCAATGACGCAATTGCCTAACAACGCATTTCTCAAAAACGTATTCTCATCAGTAAATGACAGATATGTGACTGCAATTTTAAATCTTTTAAATGTGTTCACCTTTAAAAAAGTAAAAAGAAACAGATAAAATTTATCCCACCTGTATTTAAAATACCGTCATTCCAATATGTATTCAATAAAAATATTTTTCATTCTGGTTTTGAAATCCAGTATGTATTTTACACTTAATGGCATTTTATTTCGTCTTTAAAATGCTTGGTGGTCACATGACCACCATATTGTGCAGTGACGTTCTAAAGGTTTTAAAGAAGAAGGCGTGTGAAGGAGGTCTGGACTCTAGAATTTCATAGGGGAACCTTGTAGTTCAGTAAGGATTTGCTCTACCACCCCTGGAGACCCACTTTCAATTGTGTTGTTTCAAATTTGTAGATTAAGTATATAGATTCTCTTTAAAGATCCTAATTTAATTTCTTTTTCTTTTGTTTTGTGGAGTGCTCCTTTTCTTGGGATTCCCCTAATAATAAGATGATGTGTGGATATCTATTATAAAAATTCTGTTCCTGGAACATGACAGGTCCAGATGCTCCCAGATGAGAGAACACGGTCAGGTGACTATTTCAAGCAAGTGCTGAGACAGCCATATCCTAAAATTGGAGACACTTACTTGAAAAATAAGTTGAATCCACACATTGTAAACATGATAGCCAAGTAACCCACAACACCAAATGCATAGCTGAGCTTATAGATTAGGAGGAACCATTTGTACACCAATCTGTAAATGAAAAATAGGGAGAAACATGGCACGTGACATAAAGTATTTTATCTTTTTCAAACATTGTTACAAATCAACTCTTAGTTTCTAGAATTTGATGTAGTACATACTATACAGAACATAAGTATAGAAGTAGATACACATAAGTATACATGTGTGTGTATACACACACACACACACACATACACTGAATTCAAGAATAATCTACAGTTTTGGGGCTGAGGTTGAAGTTCAGTGGTAGAGCACTTGCCTAGCACATGTGAGGCACTGGGTTCAAGCCTCAGCACCACATATAAATACATAAATAAATAAAATAAAGGTATTGTGTCCATCCACAACTAAAAAATACTTAAAAAGAAAGAATAATCTACAGTTTTAATCTAATAGCAGCAAGTGGATAAAAGCTACCCTCATGCTCATGTGTTTCTTGGTATAAGCATTTTAGCTTCTCTATGTCTGTCACGTAATCATGACTTTCAGGAAGTGTTCCTCTACCTGGGACCCTGCCTTCCCCTCCCCACCCTCTCCTGTGGCTGAAGGCTTCCTTTAGAGTGGTTTTGGCAGGAGTTGCTTCTGAGGGAAGCAAAGTATCATGGGAGAAGTCAAGAGAGGAGAGCCCCCCTCCAATAGTCCCACTTCCCTCCTGCGGTGTCACCCCTGGATCCCTAGCTCAGTCGTGGGCCCGGCCCTCCTTCCTCACCCCAAAAGTCCCTCTTGTAGCCCTGGGGAAGCAATCACAAGAGCACTCGAGCCTTGACTTCTGCTATGTGAACAGGTCATGTGCACAGCCCATGATTCACCAGGAGGCCCCGAGGCCTTCCCTCTTCTCACAGGGACTAGGGGGAGGTAAGGATGGAGGGAGAGAGAGGAAGCTGGAGGGAGCCCTGCTCCCTGCCTGTTTCCGTCTTCCCTGACTGTAAAGCCTTTAGAAGAACAGCAGCAAGGCCTAGGAAGCTGAGGGAAGAGGTTGAGAGTCCAGTTCTGCTCCTGGTGGGCCATGGCGGAGGGCGAAGCCCACTAGAGCAGGGAGTGAGGGAAGAAGCTGGGGGCTTGTCTTTGGTGCCTGAAGACAATACAGGGGTGGCTGGAACATGGCTCACAGGATGAACAGTGGCAGGAGGCTTGCTTGGCCCTTGCCCTTTCCCTGCCCTTCACCCAACACCAAAACCACACTCAGAATCTCACTGGAGATTCCGCCCCATCCTCTGGCCTCCGAGCCTCTCCCTTCCAGCTCGCTCCCCACTGGGGCCAATGCACTGAATGCTTAAGCTCTATGATGTCACTGTTGCAAGCTTTGGTTTTAAAAGATGCTTTCTTTCATCGAGTTCCAGTAGTTGGGCCTTTCTGTACCATTATGGTTTAATGGGGCTTGTGGGCCAGCGTGAGAAATGAATGGCCATTTAGATCATTTCTGTAGTGAGATGCTTTCTCCCTTTCAATAAACCAACACCTAAGGTTCCTGTGAGCAGGCACTTCCTCCCTGGGTGTACTCCTGTCCTGTGGGAGCCGCAGGCCTGGTGGACCCTGTGGAGCTGGGCACTTGCAAGGCTGCCCTGGGCTGGCTTACGGTACTGTGAGGTGGGGCAGGCCAGAGGGGGCTTTGGGGGTCTTTCTGCCACAGTGACACTTGGGCCACAGGTTCTTTGGATTTGCTTGTGTTGAGCAGTTTGGATCTCAGTGCAGCCAGATCAAGGGGGGAGTTTGTTGCTAAAAGGGGTGATGATGGGGAAGTGGGCAAGCTCTAAGGGGTCCTCCCACTAGCCCCCACGGCCGGCCAACACCAGAGGCTGTGCTCCTTGCACACTCAAGCACTCGGCACACCCTGTTCTTGCCTTGAGGGGCCTCTCTCAAAGCTGTGCCAGTGTGGGAGAGGTTCCAGGACTAACAGCTTTTTGAACTACAAGGTCTGTCTGTGCAGAAGAGTTTGTTGATTTCATGAACCCACAGCCTGTTTTGCGTTAGTAGCCTTTGGTTGACCCTGGGCTGGCCACTCACCGCCTGTGGACTTTGGTCAACTTACTTGGCATTTCTTCCTATGACTGCATCATTTGTAAAGTAAGGTTATATACTGCCAACTCTTGACATCCTACTGAAGATTATAATGATGATTATGATGATGATATAGTGAGATGATGGATTCGTGTTTAAAAGACCTCAGAGGAATGGATAAAGGAAATGTAGTACATATACACAATGGAATATTACTCAGACTTAAAGAAGAATGAAATTATGGCATTTTCCAGTAAATGGATGGAACTGGAGAATATCATGCTAAGCATGACAAGCCATCCCCCAAAACCAAAGGCCAAATGTTATCTCTGGTATGCAGATACTAATTCACAATAAGTGTGGGGGATGTCTAGAGAAGAATAGAGGTACTCTGTATTAGACAGAGGGGTGTGAAGGGAGGGGAGAGAATATGGGATTAAGAAAACAGGATAAAGAATCAGACATTATTACCTTATGTGCATATATAATTACACAACTGGTGTGATTCTATATCATGTACAACAGAAAAATGAGAAGTCATACTCCATTTATGTATGATGTATCAAAGAACATTCTTCTGTCATGTATAACTAATTAGAACTTAAATTTAAAATGTTAAAAAAAAAAAAAGACCAGCACATGATGGGCATGGTGTTGCATGCCTATAATCCCAGTGGCTCTGGAGGCTGAGGTAGGAGGATCGAAAGTTCTAGGCCAGCCTCAGCAGCTAAGCAAGGCCCTAAGCACTTACTGAGACCCTAACTCAAAAGGAAAAATAAAAAGGATTTGGCACATGGCTCAGTGGTTAAGTGCCCTGAGTTCAGTCTTTAGTACACCCCCCCAAAAAACGGGCCTAAACACATTAATGCTCAATATGCTTCCACATTGTTATGAATGTGTTAGATTTTCCACATCATAATCTTCCAGTTTATTGGGATACAAGTTTCCAGAAATAGTAGAGTCCAGAACTTTCTCATGACTCAAACTTACACCTCTGAAGCTATTGAGCAATTGTGTTATTGGAGGCCAAGCAGCATCCAAATGAGAGCTTGACCTTGGGTTACAACTGATGTGGCCAAGTTGAATTCTCAGTGGCTTGTGTGTGGCCTGTTTTTTTTTTTTTTTTTAATTGAGCTTAAACTTCATTGCTTGCCAAACAACCCAACTATAGTAGTAAAGAGGAAATTCACTTCCCCTTCTCTGGTATTCTGTACCACAGCAGGGGCTTGGCGTGCTCCAGTGGAGGAACAGCTGAGTTTCAAATTCTGTTGGTGCTGGAGACCATACTTCTTGAATTTACCTTTTGCACCAATGTTGACTTGCTTTGCCCAGCTTACCTAGCCTGGAAGGAAATCCTCTGCTTCCAAATGGCAGGCAGCTAAGATGTGACTCATATGCAACATGAGCAATCAAAGGCCCATAAAAAAAAAATCAAAGGCCTACTACCTCTCATACAGAGGGGCCCCTTTATCTTGCTGCTTTTCTGGAATAGGCCCTTGTTAGCCTCTCCCATTTTTGTCTCCTCCAATGGCAGCTGGATCTAATGACAGCTCTTGGCTCTCCAGGGGGCAGAGCTGGCCAGGCAGGAAGAAGCTGAGGTGGATCTGCTATGTGCATGAGAAGCAGATGGCGTGATACCTTGGCCATCTGAAATGTCAGCCATGAAGATGAAGCAGCACGTGATGCTTCTTGTAACAAACTTCCTCTGCACTGGGTGAACTGATGGGTCCAGAAACACTGTATTTAGCTAGGGTGATTCATTATACAGTGGGCACGTGGGCCTCATTCAAATACAATACAGATCCTGTTCTATATGATGAATATAGAGAGACAGGTACATCTGGATTCATCCAAAGCTCAGAGCACTTTAAATCTTAATTAACTTATAACACATTGTAAGAAGGAGAAAGATTGTGATATTTCCATTTTACTGATGGGTAAATGGGGTAGTACAATGGCTGTCCAAGACCCTAACCTGGCTGGTGTTAGAAGATCTAACACTGCCACAAAGCTCTTCCCAAAGTGGAATTAACATACTCATAAACCTGAGTTGGTATATTTGAATTTCAATTTTTATCATCATATTTATCTTATATATCTCCTTGCATTTTCTTCTCTAGAAGGGAAAGTTTAATGTTTATCTCTCCTACTATTTTACAGGGTAATAAAACATCTAAATGGGTAAGTAATCATGAAACTATTACACAGAAGCTTATGATTTATTCTCCACAAAAAGTCAAAATAATTTTATAAAAAAATTATTTTATAAAAAAAAGTATATAAAGTAATTTTATATACTTTTTCATTATCTCATCGTAGTTTCGTCTTGGTGATTTGTATCTCACCCAGAACAAGTAAGAACAAACCTGTAGGCACATTATAAGCTCTTAAGATTTGTGCATGATACAACAGAAGTCTATCAATCTGAAGAGATTAGCAATAGCAATTAAATGATCCTTATGAGTCGGGCTTGGTGGCACATGCCTGTAATCAGTAGCTTGGGAGGCTGAGGCAGGAGGATTGCGAGTTCAAAGCCAGTCTCAGCAACTTAGTGAGGCCCTAAGCAACTCAGTGAGATTCTGTCTCTAACTAAAATACAAAAAAGGACTGGGGTGTGGCTCAGGGGTTAAGTACCCTTGGGTTCAATCCCCAGTACCCAAAACCGAACAAACAAAAAAAGAAAACAAAAAATTCTTGTGAGAGTAATGTTTGCCTCTTACTTATAATATATATTTTCAGGTTGAAGCATAAACTTTCAACTCTTGCTCTATTTGCTGAGCTAAAAATAATCATGCAAACAGTGCTCTAGAAAATTTTAAGAAACAGTTTCACTTCTCTTTCTCCTGGCCTTCATGAGCTCATACCTGAAGTTATAAATTTTACAGGCATGTCTGAATCACCATTAGATAAGGAGTGTGAATGAAGACTAGTACAGCTGGTCTCCAAATAGTTTTGATAACAAAAGTAAAAGAAGTTCAGAGGAAGTGTAACCACCCCCACTCACCTTCCTAGGGAAAAGGACGTCCAATATACCTTTTAAGTTTTAAAATAAAGGGGCTCTTGGGGAAGGAAGGAATGCAATACATACCGTGGTGTTCTCCCTGAGAGGGGTTTTCGGGTAGCTCTGAAGAGGATATAACTGGTGATCACCGAGAACATTCCCCACATGGATAGAAACCGCCACCAGTAAAGCTTTATCGTAAAATACAAAGGGACGACCCACATCTGCAGCAAGGTTACCAGCTGTCAGAGAAATGAACAGAAAGACTCCTTCAGTGACCGAGGGCCTGGATGGCATTTCCATTATTGTTTTTCTAAAATTATCTTTTGGTGCTGAGGATTGAACCCTGGGCCTCGTGCATGCCAAGTACAAGTTCTGCCACTGAGCTAACTCTAACCACAGTGTCTCCATGACACTCAGAATCTGCTCTGTGGGGCATGCCTTTACCATCATGCCTGCACCAAGCAACTGGTTCACCGTTCAATCATGATCTTTTCCCACACATGCCAAGCTATGGAGTGAACTGGTGCGTCCATCTGATATTCAAATGGGTGACAATCCAAAATATCCATCTTCTGTCACCTCCTTTCATCTCACTATTTCAGAAGCCATTTGGGGCCTCAACAGCAATGTGTTTTGGACATACAGGTCTCCCTAGAGTTATAAAATTGGGGATACTGATGCCTGGGCTAATCAAAAGAGATGCTGGGCAGGAAACCCTGAGAACCATGCTGTGTTACCCAGAGCTATCACGTGCCCATGTGAAAGTGCACAGCGGTGCCAAAGGAGGAAGTGACAGTGACTTAAAGGTAGCTCTGGGATAACTCTGGGACGTGTTCTACCTGCCATCCCAGTGTGCTCTGCAGCTTAGCGACCTTGCCCTGACTGTTGGATCTGCATCTCACCAGTCTCTCTTCTTTGGTGGCTGATACCTTTTCCAGGTGGCCCAATGTGTGGATTACTCTTTTTCTTCTCTGTATAACCCCTTTGTGGACTATGTCATTGACCCGAGTTCAAGTAACCTGCAGAGGGTCCTTTAACCTGGCTGTCCCCAATCCCATGGGCTGTGTGAGTCACTGACTTGACAAGAGTGCCGTAGTAATAGTCCTTCTTTTTAGAGAAGACTTAAGGCCAGCCAGTCCTCTCTCTTTGGAGAGGCAGAGAGGTTTGGACAATAGCAGTAACCTCTGGTCTTTTATGTGTTACCCATTCAGACTAATTACCTATTATTTGCTCACAATGAACATAAAGGGAATGGCAAAGAGGTTTTGTCTCCAAGTGTAGAAGTTAATTTTCAGTGGCACCTGCAGCACTCTGTGGAGGATTCTGAATCTGGATGCTGATTTGGCAGTGAAGAGTCCCATCAATGGTAAATGACACCTGCCTGGATGTGGGAAGAGTTGTTCGAATTTGTGCATCTCATACTCATCATCCTGAGTATAAAGAGGGCTAATGTCATTTGTTTTCCTAACACTTCTTAACCTTTGTGGCAAAAGGGGAAGGTTTAGGAGAAAAGTCCGTGTGTACATTTTTGGCTCCTTTAAATAAGGGCTTGACCTTGACTTGTAAGGTCAACAACAGAAACTACTGGACAGGTCTTCAAAATGTGAGTTAAAAAGGCAACGTCATAGCCATCTGCTTTCATTGTTGGACAAGAAGGTGTTTCCCAGGTTCTTTATTTTCATTTTGATGCCGCCTCCCTGAAAATGGAAGATCTGGAGTCCGAGAATTGCTCTAGATCTTTCAGAGAACATTCAGATTGTTATTATACATATGCACTTGAACCAAAATACCCAAGGAACAAATCTGATATGAATATCTGGAGAGTTCACAGGGGGATATCCTATAACCTAATTTTTGTTTTGATTTTAAATTCCAGGGAATATTTTCATGGAAAAGGAAATATTTTTTACTCTTCTGAATTAGATAATTGCCTCAATTTTCTATCCTATGAGGTGTGTGTGGTCCAACTTAATGACTGAGTTATAGTCTTTATTTATGACACCGAGATAAGTATATCTATACAGGTGGTAGAATTTTTATTCAAGGAAGCAGAATATTTTCATGAAGACCTGGAACCACATCTAGATGAGTAGGATTCAAGCTCTACTGACCTTCACACTCAGCATGAGCAACCTTGACCCTCTCTGGCATTGACAATAAAAATTACAGCCCCTTAGAAAGAGCTCATCAGTATTTGTGGTTATTTCTTCCCTGTTAGATGATTACAGAGAAAGTTTTCTATCATAATTTATACATTTTCTAACTTTTAAAACTCTATTACTTTTGATATTTCATCCTTCAAAATTGGATCATCTGTCATTTGTATTTTTCATGTAATAACGATTTCTTTTTTATCTTCTCCCCATAAAAATGATGAGTTCTTTGAATAAAAGTTGAGTCAGTTCAATTTAATTCATCAAAATGCTTTGGATCATGAGCCAAAATTTGTAAGACTGATCCATTTGTTCAAATCAACAGAGTTGAAATCTACAATAGTTTGGAGCTACAGTTGGACTGTATTTTTTAAAAATGGGTTCCCTCCCTGTGGATTTATAAGAATGAACCATTTCTGGAAGATCCCAAATTGCTCTTAGTTGATACTGTATTTAATTAACAATTAACAATGAATAACTACTTTTTAAAATAGGCTTTGGAGATCAAAATGAAAGGAAAGCTAAAAATCAGTACCATGCATTATATATGCAAATATTTAATTTCTTAAGTATCTTTAAGTTGTATACCCAGCACCATATTTTATCAACATGCAAAGAGAAGGGTCAGAGATTTGCATTATGAATTCAATAGTTGTACAAAAAGTTATTTTGAAATGAGGGCCCCATTTCATAGCAATTTAAATGATTCTTTATCAATTTCCAGAGCAGTTTAAACTTCTCATTTTTAATAGTAACTGCCACATGTGAAATGTAGGAATGCTGTGCCTCATAAATAAACACATGAAAATGTGAAATCGAGGCACTTACATGCAAAGGAGGAAGCTTGGTGTCTGGAAAACATTACTAATGCCAGAAGGGTCACCATCTGGGCATGTGTGTATAAAACACATCTGCATTGCTGGCGAAGGGCAGCCTGTGCATCTGGACCATATTACGCACGTTCTCCCCACCCATACATCATAGCAGGAAGAATTTCCTGATAAATCAGATGGTGCCCAAAGGTACCATGGTTTTTTCCTTGTTACCATGCATGTAATGAATGTGAAAAGGACTGCAGATCAAGTCAAAACAAAGATATCTTTCATCTGTCTAATCCTACACAATGAGAATGCCATGCAATATTAAAAAGGGAAAGGAAGAAGTTATGCAATGCTCATTTCCTTTGCATTGCAAATACTCAACTATCTGCAACCATTTGTGTGTGGGTGTGGATGGGTTTCCGGGAGAGCAGAGGGATGCTCAGAGGTAAGCAGAAAAGTGTTATGGAAATACGCAACTCCAGAAAACCCTGCTGCTCTCAGCACAAAGATAATAGATGAAAGTGTGGACCTAAATCGAGCAAGAAGAAAGGGAGGAACCTCTACACCCTTAGAAATTCAATTGGTCCATGCTTCTCTCTCCAAATCAATCCCGATAGTTGATTTTGTTATTTAACTCTTAAATAAGATTCTGTAATGTTGTGTACGTATATAAGAACATATGTTAAGAATGAATGTATTTGTGCCTTGCCACATTTAAAAAAAATTTCCTAGTGTTTCACGGCTATTAATAGACAGGAAGTTGATTTAAAGACAGCAGTGTTTCAATCTGTGACAAATTATTTGCCTGTGTATTGAGGCCAGTTAATAGCGCATCTGAAACCGAAATTCTGTGGAGGTAATTGTAAGGCCTTCTTTTAATTTGAAGAGTAATAGAAAGATTCTTTCTTGGCACCGTGCTCCCTACTTCCTGAAAATATGAAAAGTAGTAGGTGCACTTAAGGGAGGGTGGAGAGAGTGGTATTAAAAGAAATTTTATTTTTAATTAAATGCTATTAAAAGCGTTTGGAAATAATTTAACTTTGAAGTTCTGCCAACGTCTGCACCATATCAAGATTGTCAGCTGTAAAGAGAAAAATTCAAATATTCATATGGTTGGTCTACATGGTGCTAAAAATGTGGCTTTTTGGAACAATGCAGGTATTCGGCCATATCCCAAGCAAAATACAATTTTTTTTCCTTCTACTCACTTTCTATTTGCATTTTTTGACATCACAAAGGAACAGTTAATATTATATTTTTTTACTTTATTTTTTTAAGTAAATCATTTCCTTTGTTTTAAGTATTTATAATAAGCTGCTCTGAATTATCCAGCTCTACAGACCACAGAACATAATCTGTCTGGACAGATTAAATGATCACTTTAGAAGAGGGACATATTTGTTAAAAGTTGTATCTGAAAATATTCTGGGCTTTATGAATTAGTCCCTTTCTTCTTAAATACATGGTCTGAATTATGTTTGAAATTATGTGAAAATAATACCTTTAGGTTATAAAAAATTTTTACAAATAGCAATACTGTTAGCATACAGAGCTATTCACATGTGTGTGCATTTCCTACTTTTTTCTAATTTCATTCACTTGCTTATGTATAAACTCCCACTTGATCAGCAAGTAACCTGGTTTCCACTATTTGTCACCTATTTACTTAATTGTTCCATTCCAGTGTACACATACAGCTGTGTTAGGATTGCTAAGCCCTTCTCCAATTGGGAAATAACTTTATCAACCAGAGTACAGTGCTTATGTGCAGTTCCCATTGCCTTAATTTTCAGACTGCTCATTTTCAAAGTTACTTAGATCTGTACCCCTGACCTCCATCCACCATCCTCTTTATCAAAGTTGTTTCAGACCCTTGCAATGCAGTTACATTATTTTGCCATGGTCTGCATTTCTCCCTGAGATTCTCCAACTCCCTAACTGACTTTTTAAAGCGTCCATACCTTAAAGTCCACTTTTGGCAACATACAGTTCTATGGGACTTGACAAATGCATCATGTCTTATAGTCACAATTATAGTATCAGACAGAATAACTTTACTGCTTTGCTTCCTCCCCTTCTTCCCTCTGAAGCACTGGCAACCACGGATCAATTTACTGTGCAGTTTTAGTCTTCAGAATGTCATATAACCGGAAACGTGCAGTATGTATCCTTTTTATACTGGGTTGTATCACCAAGGTTCCTTCATGTTTCTTCATGGCCTGACAACTTCTTTCTTTTTGTTGTTGAAGAGTGTTTCACTGCATG